AGAGACTGAAGTGAAACATGTAGTTCCTTGGGCGATACAAGATGCCCTTTCCTTCCAACAGTAGAATAACTGACGCTCCAAGTCAAGGGTGGCAAACTCCCTTGGCCTCTGGGCCAAATCCAGACCTGTCTCTGGTAGCAGGTCAAGGAACAGTGACATTAACCACTACATTTGCCTGAAGGATTAACACACCCACTGTCTATCCTTCTGCCACTGACATGTGTCCTCAATGATGCTCAATATTTAGGTGGTGCTCCCGAATTTAGGCGGTGAACCACACCTCCAAATCTCACCCCTCCAGAAGCCCCATGGGGAGCTTGATATGGCTCCATAGTCTGGATCTGACCCATGGGCCTTAGCTTAGAGCACAATGTAAAAGATATCTCAGACATCAAATAATCAAATGTATGTTCAGACAGGCAACCAAACATGCAGAGATACATATCTCAAGTAAAATACACTTCACTGAAGAAGTATTGCCATGAGTTGTGTATACTATGGTATCTTTTGATGTAGTGGACTGCTACTGTACTAGCATCATGACAAACCTTTTGGCTCCACCAATCTATTGCTGTTCCTCCTTTATAACAGGAAAGCTTCATCCGTATTTTCCCAAACACAAATGGTATATTTTGATACACTTCCTGTTACTCAACCCTTTTCTCACTCATAGAAGCATATCCCAGTTCATCCACAGCTTACATGATAAATGTATGTGTTCATGTAGGGAAGAGGCCAGACACTGACTCATAAACTTTCATTCCAGGATAAGGGACCCGACAAAGACTTTGCAGGGAAACCCAATTTTGCATTAACTGGTCTTGACACTGTATTGTAAATAGCTCATGACATTCTGTTAACATGCCACAAGTTAAGTGCTTCAAACCACTACATGTTGACCCATAACCAAACATACAAAGAGCTTCTCTTCATAGAAACATTGCTCTTGAGTTTACACGGAAGGGGAATGTTAAAAACAATGGAGCATTCACAATCTCTCTCAAAGACAAAGAAAATCATTTTTTGATAATTTGTTACCACTCTAAACTTCTAGTTATTTTAAGCAAGATGCCTCAACAAGAACTCAAGGTAAAAAAATTCAAAAATATAGAAGTGACTTAGAAACCCACTCCCCACTTTTAAGGGTGACTTAGACATCTAGGAGCCCAAGTCTTACTGAGAATCAACAAGAATTAGACTCAAGTCACATAGGCACTTTGAAAAATGTTATCCCAAATCTCCATATTTGCATAAGAAGTAGCTTAATCCTTTCCAATAGCAATTAGTGCAAATACCATGAGTGCCTTTATCTGTAATGAGTGGTATATTGGACAAGATTAACATATTCATCGATCTAAAGTTTCATGGCCAGGCTGAATAACTTCTGTACTTTGTAATGCCCTCAAATCAGTCAGTGACTCTTTCCTCACTGAGATCCTTCTCACCACTCACTGTTTAGATTAGCTTCACTTTCACAGCCTGCCTGAAATTATCCACAATGAGTTTTACAGATTAAATAACAGATTTGTTTCTCAGAATAACAGCATAGTTTTTACATAACAGTTCTAAAGACACTTCTGGAGCTTTTGAAGCGTCCACAATGGAATCTAATCATGGTTCGTCTAAAAGTAACTAATTCCTGCT